GGCAGTATCTCTTGGGACCCAGTAGGAATCCCAGTGCAGGGGCTTGGGATGGGCGCCGTGCCCATCGCCCAGCTGCGTGCCATGAGTACCCTGCCCAAAAATCACACCGTGCCTGCTCTGCAAGCTGTCCCCTGCCTTGCCTGCCTGCAGTTTGAAGTTTGCACTGATAACCTCACTGCAAAAACCTGGAGCATTTTATATGGAGAGTCCCACCAGCACCCACAGGAGCCCGGGGGCTGCCTGTCTCTCCTCGCTGCGCCGGGGCACGGCACGGAGGGTCAGGCGTCCTCCTCCTGCGCCGCGGTTACGTGCGGCCGCGTTCCTGCGGTCACCCCATCCTGTTCAGCATCTCCTGGGGACGGATGGGTGGGCACCACGTGAGGGGCCAGAGCTTTGGGGAGAAGAGGAACGGGCCGAGGGGCTGTTTCTGCTCCGCGCCTGGGCTCCGGCAGGATTAATTACAGACGTTGAGACCTTCTGCAGCTTCTTCTAAAGATGCCGCCTTCTAATCGTGGCAGCCGCTTGTGTTTCCTTGGGAGAGGCGCTCCGCAGAATAACTAATGCGTTCGGCTGGGAGGGCGCAGGATGCGGAGGGGGAGCTCCGGCTGCAGCCTGCGGCATCAGGTACAATCCGAACCGGATCGTGAATAATTGTCTTTTCAGTAATCTTTCCCGATAAGGGAGGCAGCCCAGGGACAGCCCGAGCAGCGCTCCGTGATTTGTGTTTGATGGAAAAGTTATCCACGCTGTGGAGAGTAGCTCGGTTTATACAGCGGGCTTCGGCTGTCCTCGCAAAGGTCATGTGAGATCGATGGGCTGCTTTGTTAGGAAATTAAATCCCTCTTTTGTGCTTCTTGTTTTAAACTTGTATTTGCTTTCCGAGCAAGGTCACTGCTCAGCTGACCAACTTTTTAACAACTGGAAAAGGTACGTTTGCTGCTCCGAACCCTGCCCTGCTGGCTCTTGGCATGGGAAGAGATGCCTCCGCTCCCCGGTGGGCTTGTAGGTGGGAGCACGAGAAGGTAACACGATGAGGAAGTGCTAAAGCCTTTGCTGCAGTGCAGGAGAACACGACAGGCAGAGCTCAAAAAGCTGTTGTGTTATGCTAATGAGCTAATGAGCTAATAGCTAATGAGACTGTTAACATGCCGCTCAGTGGGGATGGATTATCTTCTTATTTACAGGCACAGGGTTAAATGGTTCCATTTTGAAATTGCTAGCAAGATGCTCTTGGAGAAGGAAATTCCTGTATCTTTGTCTTTGGGGTTCAGTTGACTTGTTCTTTACATCTTGGGGAGGTGTAATGCTGCTCTTCTTTCTGCTGGCTGCGGTGGATGGGGAGCGGGCGGGCGCTCGCATTGCTGGGCAAGCGGGACAGAGTAAAAGAGGGGTTAAATGTGACTGTCGAGAGCCAGTGTTAGAGACAGGGCTATTTAAAAAGACAGTGCAATGTCCCTGCGAATGGGCTGTGCCAGGGACTAAAACCGTTCTGTGCTCTTGCCTTCTCATATATTCGCCTTCTTGATTTTCATTTCCGTGTAGATTTATTCCTGCCTTGAGAAAAGCAGTGTGATTTCATTCGAGGTGAAAATCAGCAATGCTGGGTGTGTGCTGATGTCACCTGCCTGGAGAGGAAAATAAGTATTCTTTGATTTTATGCAGTAGGGGAAAACTCAACAAATACAAAACCCAACAGAGGGTCAGCGTAACAGGTGTTAGCAAGATAGAGACTCACCTAAAACTGCCCCATACCGTGGGCTGGACTCTGGGCGTACAGGTACGCTTTGTCCAGCGATTACTTCATTTTTTTATTCTCATTTTTATTAGGGACAGGCATCGGAGAGCACCTGTGGGGTCCAAGGAGCCATGGTTTTGGCTCAAAGCCATCTGCTCCACACCCGAGCTGCCCCAGGTGGGACGGGAGAACATCAGCAAGCTGGTGGGGTACCTTCAGCATCCTTTTACGATGCCTTTTTGAAGTAGATTGGTCAAAAGAGAGAAGTTGTAGTATCGGTTTGGGCTGCAGAGTTGGGACCCAGCCAGCTCATACAAGAACTGATTAGATGTAATTATCTAGATATTAAAAAGTGTCCTATTTACTGGCTTTCCCCCCCCACCCCTCTAAATAAATGACCTAGAAGAGTGAAGTGTAGCTGGTCAGACTGTAGCTGGGATCTGTAAGTGCTCCGTAATTGACCGTCATCGGAAAATTTTAAAAAAGAAACATTTGAGAAGGAGGTTAGCGTTTGTTTTGGCACATGCTGTTCACTGGCAGGAGACAGAAGAAATTGCCCTTTATAGAAGTGCAGTTAATTGGAGAGCGCATCAGGAGGCCATGGGTCAAGGTGTTTCAGAAGCTCACGTGGCGCTGGGTGGGCATCGGTGTTGCTGTCCAGCCGCATGAGCGTCGAGGAGGTACCCACCCTGGAGGCACTATTGAGAGTTTTGATGTTCTTCTTGGGTTGGGACCCTCCAAACTTTCCATCAGGGCTCTAAATTGACAATAAACTTGTCTACCTGAATGCCAGAACTAATTGTTTTTTCAGAAGGTTTTGATCTTTCAAAGTGTCCTTCCTCTGAGCAGGATTTGGCTTTGATTTCCAGCTGGTCTTTGGTAGTTAAACCACTTCGTGTCAGTGCTTCTAGAAGAGACTATCAGCGGCCCTGCTCTACTTCATGTAGCCTTAGCTGTGCTGCAGATCCAGTTATTTTGCCATTGCCACGAGAAGAAAGATGAGTTACACAATGCAAAAATAATTCCGTGAGAAAAAGAGAATTTAGAAGCTGCAGAGTGGAGAAGACGAACAGGACAGAGCTTCTCTTGAGACAGTGAATGAACCTGAGCTCTCGAGAGATGGTTCTGCTGGTGGATGCTGCAGAAGAGAAAATAGGAAGATGAACAAGACCGGTGCTGGATAAGTACAACACCAGGTGAAGCGAGGGGTAAAGGTTGGTAGGAGCCCCTTCACAGGGAGCTCTGGAAGTGTGGTCAAATGCTGAAGTCCTCACCTAGGCGAAATACTGCAGGTAGAAAATGAATTCAGACTCTGGTGGCTTGATCAATGAGATGAAGGTGAGCTGGATTCTGGAATAAATAGTGCCAGCAATGTCCCCAGCTGCCTGGGGCTGGCTCAGTGCAGGCTTTGTGCTCCTTGCTCTTACCCCTGAGAATCTTAGATAGCTCAGGGATGCACTGGAAACTCAGGGATGGACTTCCAAGCTGCTGTGGGACCATCTCTGGCCAGGAACCAAATTAGATACTTGAAGGAAAATCCTCAACAAGCAACCTGCCCTCCAAGAAACCCCCACCTTTTACCCCGTAGCAGGAATTAAAAGACAGACCTTCTCACTCTTGAGCAACGTTGCCCTTCTCATGCAGGTCAGGAAGCCTCCTAGAGTGGTGTCCAACTGCCTCAAATTCCTTCACCCTTGCTTGCCTCCTCCCTCTGTCTTTCTAAAGGGCATGGAGGAGAGAAGCTTCACCCAAGGGCATGGAGGAGAGAAGCTTCACCCAAGACTTTTCTTTGTTGTTCTCAGGCTTAATCTCCTTTCACTCTCCAAGAAGGTCTCACCCATATCAGAATGATAGGAAAATGGTGGAAGGCTGAATAGACCAGGCTGGATGTCAGGTTCATGGTGTAGGCTGTGGTGGATCTCCACCTGAAGATCCTCCCTGAGATGAAAGCAGTTTTTCTGTGTTTTAGTGCAGTTTGGTGACGGTTCTTTGTAGGAGTATGGATGTGCTCTGAAATAATGGGGTTTGTTTGAGCAAGATTTAACTTGAATTTTGAATATTTGGTTATTATGCCTTTTTCTTTTTTAAAGTGACAAACCAGACATTCCTATGTATAGTTTATATCCCTTGCTATATTATGTTGGATATATCCAGCTTACAGGAGTCCATGAAGAGTCCCTGTGCCATCTCTCTCAAGCCCAACAGAAATTGCCCTAAACATCTCTCCTTTCTCTTTTTTTTTTTTTTTTGCAGTCAAAACCCTCTGTAATGCAGGGGACGTTTTATAAGAACCAGCTACCTGGGATGTGTCTGTGAAGCATGAGTTGTTGCCGCTGGAGAAGGAGCTATCGATTTGAGCAGCTTGAAAGTGCTTAGCAGGCACAGTCAGGCTGCAGAATATGGGAAATGAGAGGGGGAGCGGGCTGGGAAGAGGTTTCAGGCTTTAAGGAGAGATTAAGCTCAGGTGATTGAGCTTTGTTATTAAATTAAAAGTAGCTCTTTCTTTTTTTTTCAAGGGTGAAGCGACTCATCTGCCGTAGCTTGTCAGAGGATGTTTAACTGACAGCCCGATCAGACCGCACCATGGAGCAGACAGACGGTACGGAGGCTACGGGATGTTTGTTTGCTCATTTGTTTCTTAAAAAAAAACACCCCAGCCAAGCCCTGGAGTAATTTCCTTACCCGAAATACTGTAAATAACCTGTTTTCTATAGATACGTGCGAGGGCTGGGAGGTGAAAACCGCACCGTTCACCCTGCGCCACGTTTCCCCTCCATCGTTCCGCTGACTTTCCCGTGCCGCTTCCCACCAGAAAGGCGGCTGCATCTCGGTGGTGCTGTGGGACGAGCGGCACCAAAAGCTGTGCCAAATTCTGCCCGTCCCCGCACAGCTGCTGCACCGGGATGGAGAGAGAGGGAGCAGCCAGGAAACCTGGCTTCCTCCCGGTTGAGCCGCTCCTCCTCATCCTCCTAGAGCACAGCTTGTTTGCTCAGAGGTACGAAGTAGCCCAGATCACAGCGATTTCAGGGATTTGCCTGAAAAACGAGCCACGGCGCAGGAGTTTAACTATTTAGACCCTCAAGGGTCTAAAATTTGGGGGCTGTGAATTTGTTGCAGGCTGGATCCGGCTGTATGAGGTTGTGTTAAAGCTGGAGCGTCGGGCTGTGCTGCTGGAGCCGTGCCGTTTGCCGGCGACGGCCGGGTGGGCAAACACTCCCACGCGTTCCGTGGTGATTTTCCTCAATTAAAAGCCGTGCTCGGTGCCGTGCAGCCGGTCACCTTGGGAAGCACGTGTTTCGCATGGATGCGGCGGTGGGAAGCAGCCCCGGCAGGCGCTGTCTGGGTCTGGCCTCTGCCCGGTGCCGTATTCATCATTTCCAAGGAATAATTTGTGACCGGGTGTTTGCGGATGAAACGTTGCAATCATTTTCCTGCTTGGTGTGCGCGGCGCTGCGGACGCCACTGACAAGTTCAAACCGAAAGCCTTGAAAAATGTGATTGTCACAGACTGGTTCCACCCTCTGTTTTGGAGGTGAATTTATTATCGGGCAGGTTTTTATACTTACTTCCACCTGCAAAACCTGCTGTTTGCTTAATTGCCAATTAGAGCCATGATTTCAACAGATTATTGGCTTCCTCAGTACAACAATGACCTGATTCACCTCCAGAAAACTGGATCGGACCTTCGCACGTGTTGCTGCGTCTCCGCGCAGCTTCACCCCGAGCCTCCGCGATGGCGAACTGAAACTGGGATGCAAAAAGAAGTAACGTTTTTCCCCTGCTCTAAACGTATTTTTTTTTTTGATTTTTTTTGTTGCCTTCAAAATTTAATCATCTCCTTTCTTTGGGTTGTTTCAGCAAACGGCCAGCTGCCCAAACCCAACGGGGAGAGGGAGCAGCCCCGCAGCCTCCCCTACTCCGTGGAGACACCCTACGGCTTTCACTTGGACCTGGACTTCCTGAAGTACGTGGATGACATTGAGAAAGGGAACACCATCAGAAGGGTTCACATCCACCGGAAAGCCAAGCAGCCGAAATTCAGCACCGTGCCCCGAAACTTCAGCCTGCCTGAGAACGGCTCCCGGGGGTGACGCGCC